CTGCTGCACCGAGGCGGCGCCCACATATCCGGTGCCCGAGGTCCCCAACGTCCAGACGCTCGGCCGCCGAAGCAATCCCGCGGTGCGCCATGACTGCGACCCCGCCCGAGCTCTCCAGGGCCCCGCGGCCAGTCGAGCACGCCTTGCCCAGCGTGGTTCTCCTGTTGGCGAGGGCTGCCTGGCTGCGCGCCGAGATCAGCGCTGCTTCGCTCTTCAGCCTGGTCTCCTGGAGGCAAAAGGCATGTGGCTTCGCCTCTAGCCCCCCGCCGGCCACCTGCTCGTCGATCCACTGGTGGAGGACCGTCCAGCTGCTCCACACATTCACGTTGGCGCCCATAATGAGCAGCTCCTCCGCAGCCTCTGGGGGCCTCGGGCCCCCGCGCCCCGGCCCAGGTACCTCCAAGCTGCTGAGGCGGGAGGTGCAGCTCCGCGCCGCAGGACCTCCTCCCGCTCCCTCAGCCTCCTCAAGGGCGACGAGGTCGATACATAACCACAGCCCCAGGCCAGGCCCACCCAGGCCCAGCAGCGGCGGAAGCGCCCCCCTGGCCAAGCCAGGAGGGCGCGCGCATCGCACCTGGGCCCAGGATGGCTCTGGCCTGGGGCGGAGGAAAAGTATAGACCTCGACGCTCTATCCTCACACCTCCACGCGCCGCGTCCCAGAGGAGCGCCTCACCCCCATGGCGGCCGCTGCTGCCGTGGCCCTCACCGGTGGCATTCGACAGCGCCGAAAAAGATGAAAATTGGGGCCGCGATGCAGCCGAAACCCTAGCAACCATCGCGTCCGAGCACTCGACCTGCACAGGTACGTCAAGGGTTGCGCACTCGGACTCCCGCTCGCCGACAACGGATAGTCACCGCCCCGGCTCGGGGGCGCCGTCCGGAGGGTCCACGTCGCGAGCAGGTTGGCCCGCGGCGGCGTTGCCCGCCCTGGATGCCTCCGCTGCCTCTCCCGCGGCCTGCACGCCGCCTCCGGGAGGCGGGGGTGCGCTGGCGCCCCCCGGGGCAGCACCAGCAGCTGAGGGTGTGCAGGCGCCCCCCGGAGCGGCCTCCGAAGGATCCCCTGGCTGGGGGCCCCCTCCCAGGAGGGCGTCCACGGTGCCCACCCACTCCACACCATGTCCTCGGCGCAGGCCGCTGAGCAGCTTGGCGTCCACGTCGCCCCCATGGTGGTCAGCTCCCAAGGCCGGGCCCTTGGGGCCGGTGGCGGGCGGGGCGCCTTTGACGCCTGCACCCTCGGGAGCTTGTGGGCTTGATGCCGCGGCGGGGGACGCTGCTGCCGGGGCGCCGCCGAGTGCCCCTGGGGGGGCTGCTGATGGCTGCTCCTTTTCCACCGCTTCCACAGCCTCTTGGACGCTGGCTAATTCGGCTGAGATTCTCTCGCCCTTGCTGTTCATGTCGCGGATCCGCCCTGCGAAGGACGCCTGCGGGAGAGGCGGGACCGGGGCCTCTTCCGCCGCTGCCGCTGTGTGCGCGCTGGTATCTGCTTGCGCTGCGGCCTTGACGAGGCGGCAGATCTCATCCTGGCCCAGGTGCACCGACTCCGGGTGGGCTTTCACATAGTCCAACACCTCCTCCAACGAGGGGTCTCCGGTCTGTGCCGAGATCTGCGGCTGGATGGCCTTCTCGGTGACCTTGAGCTGCTCGAGTTTCTCCTTGATCTGGCCGATGCGGTGATTCACTTTGGCCCCGAGGGACTCATACTCGTCCACTAGATGATCGATCTGGGTCTCCAGACTGAGGAGTTTTTCCTTGTCCTTCTGGACCTCTGCCGTCGTGTCGGCGATGGGGGAGGAGGAGGAGGAGGAGGAGGAGGGAGGAGGAGGAGGAGGAGGAGGAGGAGGAGGAGGAGGAGGAGGAGGAGGAGGAGAGGAGGAGGAGGAGGAGGAGGAGGAGGAGGAGGAGGAGGAGGAGGAGGAGGAGGAGGAGGAGGAGGAGGACGAGGAGGAGGAGGAGGAGGAGGGGGATCGGCGAAGCGATGCTGAGGGAGACCCCCCCGCGGGCACGCACAGGCCCCTCGGCCCCTCGACCTCCACCTTCCACCCCTCGTTCGGCGGCGCGCCCCCGGGGGGGGGGAAGGCCGAGGGCAGCGGGCCTCTCAGAAGGCTCCGACGGCCTCTCTGGGCCTTCTGAGACTGGAAGCAAGCATGCGAGGGCGGCGGGCCTCTGGGCCCAGGAACACGCGAGCAGGCATGCGAGGGCCCCTCGGGTTGCCGGCGGGTTGGCACGCGTTCTGGACGTTCGTCTTCCCCTCCCCTTCGGGCCCACGTCTTCCACCCCTCGACCTCCACCTTCCGCACCTTCCGCGCGGCAGGAGCCGCGCAGCGGCGGCCGCGGCCGCGGCGGCAGCCACGCCGGCGCACCAGCATCCCCTCGCCGCCTTGTCGTCGGGGGTCCGAAAACCGTGTGCGTGTGGTGACGGACCGTGCAGTGACCCCGAATCTCCACGGACTCACCACGCGCCATGGTCACCACACCGTTTGGGGGCCCCCGATTCCTGGAGGCCCCCTCGCGCGCACCCGCCGGCCCCCACGTCCTCCGCCGCCCCTCCCGGACCCCTTCCTCCCTCCTCCCCCGACCCAGGCCCTCCACGCGTGGTGAAAAGATCGCGAGGGCCAGATGTTGACCATTGTCGGCCTCGGGGGGCCCTCGCCAGGCCCTGGGGCCGTCAGAAAACGATCCGAGATGAAAAGCGGGCACTGGGGAACGGGTCCAGACCTCCGGGGGACCACGTCATGAAAAAAACACGCGACGTCGGGGGCAGCGGGGGAGGAGTGAGAGGCGGAACGCCAGGGGGGACCGGCTCAGAGGTGGGAGGCATCAGGCTGGACTCGGCGACGCATCGTTGACAGATCGGCGATGGCCACCGACAGCAAATCCGCACTCTCCAGGGCATCCGGCCCCCACCAGCGATGAGTAGGCGGCTGTGGGTCGATGCGTCCCACTCTGAGCCTACCCCGCCCCTCAAACGTTATGTCGGGCGTGTCCCCCTACAGGGGGATTTTCGACGAAAAATTAAAAGTACCCCAAAACTATTTCAAAAATGTGAAAAAATACTTTAAAAAATAGTCCCCAGACTATTTTTTTAGTATTTGTTTTACTATTTTGGGTGTATTTTTTATTTTTCGTCGAAAATACCCCTGTAGGGGGACAGGCCCGACGTAACTCTAACGCTGCCCCTGTGGAGAGGGCAGGGGGCCCAGACCCCAGACGTCATGATGCGATTACGTAATTACGTGGAGGGCGGCTTCTCCTCAGGCCAGGGGGGGCTCTCGCTGCACACTTCCTGGCAAGTGTTGGCCGCGTCTCTACGCATTCCTACGGTAACAAAGGGCGGCTCCTTTTCACAGCGCGGTCCCCCAGAGGTCTCGACCCAGTCTGAAGGGAAACTGGGACACACAAATAAATACACACACAAATAAAAAGATTCCCTATATTTTCCTATATTTTCTGGGTTTTTTGTCTTCCCCACCACTTCCTATATTTTCCCATATTTTCCTGGGGATCGACGATTAATTGTGTATGTGTGATTTTTTCCCTCCTGACAGTCCCCGGGCCGGCTCTGCATCCCTCAGATCCTGAGCATGGCCGAGAGCCTCCCGCCGCGACTCCTCCTTCCCAACGCGACGGGACGGGAGGCCAGTGGCAGAGCGGGCCGCACTGGACGTGGCGGGCCCGCGAGGGCATCCACCCAGGCCGCCGTCCCCGGGGCTGTTCAGGAGGGGGAAAAAAAAACAACAACAAAAAAGACACAAATAATCAGCGATTTCCCAGAAAATATTGGAAAATATGGGAAGTGAAGGGGAAGACAGAAACCCAGAAAATATAGGAAAATATGGAAAATATGTTTATTTGTGTGTATTTATTTGTGTGTCCCAGGGCCCTTTCAGCTGTCCCCGCCGCCCGCCTGGTTTCGTTGGCGTCTGGTTTCGGTTCCGCCGGGGCTGGATTCGCCGGCGACAGGCTTCGCCCGGGCTCGCTTCGACCCGCCAGGGCGCCAGATCTCCTGACCCGGCCGGGTCAGTCGGGCTCCGCAGGATCCTGCACATTCCTGCAGCATCCTGTGGGACGCACAGAGACATACTAATACAAAATGTCCTCCTTTGAGGCGCGCGTCCGACCCGAACATATAGCATACCCATCTTGTAGTACATCGTCTCCCGAGCGGCGTGGTCAGAAAGCGCCCGCCACGACGCATATACTATAAGATGTCTCGGTGCGCGCGTTGCCCCTGGCGGGGGGCGACGCACACATAGTATAAGTATGTTGCGGTGACGCCGATCCTGCGCGCTGCTCTGGGTCAGTGTGGACCTGGCCACGCAGGACCCTGCAAGATCCGGCGCTCTGCCTCTGACCCCCGTGTGTGTGGACCCCCGCCTCTCAAGGCCCCCGAGACCCGCTGGGGCCCCGCCCGTCCCTAGGGGCTTCATGACTGTTCGCCAATCGGCTTGTGTTGGGGGCGCGCAAACATGGATTAGCGATCCATGGATTTGGCGCGCGGTCGACTAATCCATGGATCGGGGGAGGTGCCCTCCCCAAAATGCGGCCGGTGCCGCCTCGTTCGGCGGCGGAAATCCGCGATTTCCCATGGAGACGGGACCCGTCGCTAATCCCCACGCCCCCTTGATCCATGTTTGCGATCGCCTGATTGTGGGGACCGACTTAAATCGACGCAAACCCAAGCAAATCGCGGCGAGTCCAAGCAAATCCAGAGATCTACAGGGAAACCTGGAGCCAATCGTGGCCGATCCAGCGCAAGTCGAGGGACGGCATAAGTCGTTGAGCCCTGAACGAGCCCGCCGGACCCGCCCAGCCATGTTAGGCCGGGCATGCCCCCCTACAGGCGGACTCCGAGCGAAAAACAAAAAATCATCAAGAGATGCCCCAAAAAAACTCCCCAAACTATGTTCTTACGAGTTTTGAGCACTCCTCCAAAAGAAGGGACACGCCCGAGCCAGGGCCGCGCCCGCCCGGGCCCGCCCGCTTCAGCGTGCCCAGCCGCCGTCCCCGAGGTTGCCCCCGCCGCCCGCGGCGCTGCAGCGGGCCTGCCCGAGGTAGGTCATGGCGGGCTCCCCGCCGCGGTCCCCGCTGTGGCCCGCGCCGTCCGCGTCGGCGCCCGCCTAGAAAGAAGAAATGACGCCATAAACGTAAACACCTGGCGCTCCGCACGGACTTCTTGGATCCGCCCTGGGCCCCCTCCGGCGGCGCCTCCGGCGCCGCCCCTGGCGCGCTCCGCGCGCCAGGGAGGGGGGCCCAGCGCAGATCCAAGAAATCCGCGCGGAGCGCCAAAAGCTTATGATTATGGCCTTAGTTCTTCCTCGAAGCCTCGCACCCGCGCCCGCTGGCGTCCAGGGAGGCCCCGTCCATCACCTGTCAGGCACACGCCGGCGCGGATCACGGATCTGCGGGTGGATCTTGCGGCGGCGAGCGAGGGGGGGAGGGGGAAGTGGGCAGAAGAAGGCCTCTCGGAGGGCGGCGGGGCTTCTCAGAAGCCCTCCAGCCTGCTGAGAGGTCTTCTGTGTCTTCGGGAAAGGCTTCTACAACCTCGCAGACGGCCGGGGAACATCCGAGCCTTCTGAGAAGGCCCGTCCCCTCTCTCTTCCCCTCGGGCTGGCCGCCGAACCTTGGAGGGAGGTAGAAAGCAGGGACCATGCCCAAGACTGAGCGCGGAAACGCCGTGCCGACCTCGTTCACCGTCCATCTTGGTCAGCGTCAATTCGTGATCGTCCTCGCGAATCGGCGACGGCTGGCATGGACCGTGACCAGGATCAGCATCCCGCGATATCTTGGTCATGGTCAGCATGTTCTGCCCCCGAGATCTGGCGCGTGGGCTCCAGATGTATGGCTGGCGGCGCGCACAAGGCCTGCCATCGTTCGGGCGTCAACTCCCCGTGCACAGTTCGGCTTCGTGCGCCTACCTTTCGCCGGATGGTCCAAGATGCTCCACGAGGGCCCTTGCCGAGAAGAAACCGCACACGCCCGAGCAATGCCAGGGGGGCCCGGGAGCCTTCGAGGCTTCTCGGACGCCTCGGGGCCTCCTCAGACGGCCCTCCAAGAGGCCCCCCCCCTGCCTCCCTGGCGGCCCCACCCCCTCGCGCCTCTCCCGCGTGCGCGCCACCATCCGCGGTCTTCGGGCCCCGGGGCCCTCACAGAGCGATCTGGCTCGAAAAGTGGCGCCGTGGTATCTCACCCTGCTGCACTTCGGTTCGCGCCGACGGATCTCAGGGAACACGGCTCGGAGGAAGCAGTGCCCCCCGAAGCATGGGGCCATCGTCTGCTTTGGCGACGGATCGCGCCGATCTCCTAGGAGGACGAGGGCCCGCTGCAAATCCGCGCGCACTGACCCATGCTTGCGCCTCCTCGGCACCTGCAGCTTCCCACTCGCGCAGGCCAGCACGGACGCCCCCTGAACCTTGGACCTCGTGCTCATGACCAGGGCGTCGCGCGCGGCGAGCATCACGTCGAACTTGATATCGGACTCGAAGAAATATCTCCCAGGGGGTCCCGAAAAACCGCTGAGGCGACGGGCCCTGTGGTGACGCCAAGAGCCCGAGAGCCCTCACCGCCCGGTCCGTCACCGCGCGGCTGTATGAGGGGCAGCGATAAGGGGTGCTGGCTCAGAGGGGGAACGTCGACCTGGAACCGGCGATAGGCTCCCGGTAGCGAAACCTCACGTTCCTGGGCGGGGGGGGCTATCGGACCTGTATCGGGGATGGAATGGGCGATTGGGGGTTCGTGCTTTCTTCGGCGCGATAACTCCTCACGCACCATTCAGCGAGGGACGGTGAGGAAAAAGGATAAGAATGGGGATAGTAGATATACCCCCACCACTCCTCTGAGGCCAGAATGGTCGACGGGGAGCCAGTCCTGGTCTCCTTCGTCCCCCCTGGAGCCTGCCCCCCCTCCCGAGCGTTGCCGCTGATTTGGGGACCTTGGGGGTCCGAGTTGCCCGAGACATTCTCGGTGAGCGATCCTAGTTCCGAACCTCGGCGGCGATCCCGGGGGAGAAGCGAGAGGGGGGACGGGCCTTCTCCGAAGGCTCGGAAGTCCCCTGGCCTTCTAAGAAGTGTTCTGAGCAGGTCCCGACGTCACAGAATACCTCTCAGAAGGCTGGGGGGCTCCTGAGAAGCCCCGCTGCCTGCTAAGGGGGCCTTCTCCTTCTCACTTCCCCCCCTCGCTCGCTGCCGAGGATCCCCACCGACTCACCCCACAGCGTGGTCACCGCAGCGTTTGGAGACCCCCGAGCCTCTCCTTCGGCCAGTCGCCGATCGCCGGCCACTCCGCCAGCAGCGCCGGGCACAGGTCCTGGAGCTTCGTCTCCCGGTTCTCGCACCCGTCCAGGCCCTCCGTGTGGATGGTGAAGCTGGACTCCAGGGTTACTGTCGCGCCAATCGCCCAGATGTAGTCGACGAACCACGACATCCCCTTCCATCCCAGGTGCAGGTGGCCAAACGCTCGAGTATATATCTCTACCTGTTGCACACCCTTATCGGAATCTTCGCCACCTGCACCTGACTTCTCTCCGTTGTGCAACTCGCGCGCCATGGTGGCTGACACGATCGCGTCTTTCTTAGAATCTATGACAACTCTCTGGGCGAACAGAGTAGTGAGTGGATCGGAAAGGATGACTGTGCCAGCCATGATCCAAATCTGATGATCAAATTGCGGGAACTTCCGCGTCTTCCCCACTTCCCGCGACGCCTTGCCATCCGCAAAAACTCGTCCGTTCTGGGACGCCAATTTGACCTCGCCTTCGCGACAATGCAAAATCACAGACCGTCCCTGCAACTGTACTGACAAACCTTCGATATAGACCCCTTTTGAGCATGTGTGGCTACCGAGCGAGACCTCTCCCTTGGCAGAGATTACGCTGACACGGTCAGCGGCTGTGAAACGGTCCGCCCTAATGCGGACTGAACCTGTCGCCTTGAGGAGCACATCGCTCTGTAAGCTCACTGAGCCCGTCACGTTGAACTCGATTGAGCTGACGCTCGACATCCAAGCTTGTGAAGTTATGCTCGTTGAGCTTTGGAGCACGACGTCTCCCTGCCACACCAGCTGCACCTGTGTATCCCAATAGGTAGGCGAACCCAAACTCAGAACGCATGTCGCATTCGTGTCGCCCGCCTTGCACGACTCGTTTAGCTCGAGAACCGTGATCGCCAGACTCGCATGCCCAACCGCGACCAGTCGATACGCCCAGGTCCCCAGCATGACGGAACGCTCCTCGAGAGAACAGCGCCCCGGAGAAAGAGAATGCTGCAGCTGCTCGTCCACGGAGGCTCCCCAAATGTTACGAGAAATGCTGTACAGAACCTGAGCTAAACCCCTGAGCCAAGGCCCCCACGCGGCACACGGACCATGCCAAGAGCACGCGCACCGAGCTGCTGGACCGGGGAAACCAAACCAAGGTACCGAGCCCGCTACTCCCAGGACCTCTCCCAGGGTGTGGTCTTACCCGAACTCTGCGGCGAATCCAGCGGTGGCGACGAGGGCCTCCCTGGAGGCCGAAAAAGGAGGGAACGGGGGGAGGGAAGTGGTCTCGGTACTTCTCCTCTGCTGATGGACTGTGCGCATGGCCTTGGCGCGCGCGCGCGCGATCGAGCTCCCACCACGCGGATGCTGGCGCAGGCTGTGTGCGCGCTTCCCCACGCAGCTCCCGCTGCTGGGCCGAGCACCCGAGCGGGCACCGCGGCGGGCGCCGCGAGCGCGAAGGCCCGCGCCTGCGCCGGCTCCCCTGCCCCCTCAACCCCCGCCCTAGGATTAAGTCAAGCCTGTCCCCCTACAGGGGCATTTCCGACAAAAAAATTAAAAAGACCCCAAAAATAATCAAAAAATAGTCCAAAAATAGTCTGGGGACTATCTTTGTAGTATTTTCTGACTTTTTGGAGGTATTTCGGGGGGATTTGTTATTTTTCGTCGAAAATCTCCCTGCAGGGGGACACGCCCGACATAATCCAGGGAAGCGGGGGAGGAGTGCAGGGAAGAGGGACCACAGGCAAGCAGGGGGGCCGAGGGCGGAGAGAGCGGGCACGCGAGCGAGCTACTCCCCAGACCCCCAGGGTCGTGATTTCTTGTTTTCCGAAGGAAACAAAAAATGGCATAAAAACACAAAAGAAACATAAAAGACACATGTTTTGTTTTCCTAGGGGGACAAAAAGTGGCATAAACATAAAAACTCGGAGGTCCGCGCGGATTTCTCGGATCGGCGCTGGGCCCCCCCGGCGGCGCCTCCGGCGCCGCCCCTGGCGCGCTCCGCGCGCCAAGGAGGGGGGTCCAGCGCCGATCCGAGAAATCCGCGCGGAGCTCCGAGTTTTTATGTTTATGCCACTTTTTGTCCCCCTCTTTTCGGCGTGGACCCCGGGAACTCTCGACCGCCATTCCCTGGGACCGGCACTTCACCCCGAGTCGTCTGTTGACGGCCCCGAGGCCTGGCAAGGGCGGAGGCCGAACCTTGCCAAGAACCTCCCGTCGTGACTGGGGTCACGACGAGACGGGGTCCAGGAAGGAGGGCTGTCGGATCAGAACTCGGCCCTCCAGGGGCAGTTCATGCCAATCGGGGCACCCCTGGAACGCCCACGGCGAGGCGCATCTGATGGAAAGCATCCGGGGTTGGGGAACGGCCGAGGGCCTGCGAAAACGTACGGAAACGTGCGAGGGTCTGGCTGCGACTCGAGCAGAGGGCGGGAATGATGTTTGGTTTCCTTCCAAACCCCCTCTTCCCTTCGGGGAGGGGAACCCTCCCCCTCCCCTCCATGAGGTTGTTTTTGGAGGGGGACCGATGTGTCAGAGGGTCGTTTTTCGGCCAGTGGGAAAACCAATGTTTCACACCCCATCACGAGGATCGTGGCCCCCAAGGCTGGGGCAGACATCGAGGACTCCCCTCTTTTGACCGACCGCCTTCAAGATGGCACCAAGAGGCCCCCCAGAGCTCCCAAGAGGCCCCCAGAAGAGCCCCAAGAGCGCCCCAAGAGGCCCCAAGAGACCTCCAAGAGGCACCCGAGAGGCACCTAAGAGGCCCCCTGAGCAGCCCCCCAAGAGGCCCAAGAAGCTCAACCGAGGCACGCAAGACAGATCATCCTCCTCCTCGTCCTCCTCGTCCTCGTCCTCCTCCTCGTCCTCCTCCTCGTCCTCATCCTCGTCGACCTCCTCGTCCTCCTCCTCCTCCTCCTCCTCCTCCTCCTCCTCCTCCTCCTCCTCCTGCTCCTGCTCCTCCTCCTCCTCCTGCTCCTGCTCCTCCTCCCTCTCCTCCTCCTCCTCCTCCTCCTCCTCCTCCTCCTCCTACTACTACTACTACTACTACTACTACTACTACTACTACTAACTACTACTACTACTACTACTACTACTACTACTACTACTACTACTACTACTACTACTCCTCTCCTACTCCTACTCCTACTCCTACTCCTCTACTCCTCTCCCTCCTCCTCCTCCTCCTCCTCCTCCTCCTCCTTCCTCCCTCCTCCTCCTCCTCCTCCTCCTCCTCCTCCTCCTCCTCCTCCTCCTCCTCCTGTCCTCATCCTCCTCCTCGTTCTCATCCTCCCTCCTCCTCCTCCTCCTCCTCCTCCTCCTCCTCCTCCTCCTCCTCCTTTCTCCTCCTCCTCCTCCTCCTCCTCCTCCTCCTCCTCGTCCTCCTCCTCCTCCTCCTCCTCCTCCTCCTCCTCGCCCCCCCACGCGTGCCCAGAGATGGCCCCAACACGCCGTCCAGGCCGGCCTCCCTCGCTGCTTGACTATGCGTATCTCTTCCTCTCTCTCCCCCCTGTCAGCTCTCATGGGCATCGTTTCTGGATGGGTTGGTGGGGATACTTTTTGGTTCGCGGGCGCGCGAAACGAGTCGAACGCCGAGCGTGCTAGGGCGGGCCGCGCCGATAGCGAAGTGAAAAGCAGTGCAGGCGGCGGCGCGCGAGGAGCCGCGAAACGTCAAAAGAGCGAGCCTGGGTGCGAGGAGACGACTCAATCCCTTTCGGGCAAAGACATGCCCGACTTGAGGAGGAGGGGAGGGGGAGGAGGCGGAGAAGGTGGGGGGAGGAGGCGGGGAGGGGAGGTGGGGGGGAGGGAGGAGGGAGCGGGGGAGCAGGGGGGGAAAGGGGGGAAGGAGGAAAAGGCGGGATGGGGAGGAGGAGGGGGAGAAGGCAGGCAAGGGGAGAGAGGAAGAAGAGGAGGTGAGGGGGAGATGAGGGGAGGGTGAAGACAAGCGGCGGAGAGGGGTGGGGACGGAGAGAGGCGGCGGATGCGATCTGCTGCTTCCTGGCGGATCGTACGCCTTCCTTGCGGTAGCTGATACAAACTTGTCATCCTCCACAGGTCCTTCGCCGCCTGTCGCTGAATCGACCCTCGTGTCTGCAGCGTCGCGCTCCTGATCGAAGTGCCCTTGAATGCTGAAAAGGACACGGCTGATCGAGTGAGCTACACCACACATAAACACATGAGGTCGCAATGGCATGAAAAACAGGCAGCGCCGCAAGTACACATGAATCAAATCCACCCTCCGCTCCACAACTTCACTAGAACTACACACGTCATAAACGATGGTTGGCCACAGGCGAAAGCGGTGACCCGCCCTGACGCGTCCCCGATCCGCCGCCATTATGTGCCTGTCCACAAACAGGCTGAGCGTGCCAAATCCTCTATCATTTGGACGCCCGAAATGGGTACGGAAAAATGGGTACAGTGCCCAACAACAAATGTTGTCCAAAACCGACAGCGGCCGCTGTTGGCCAGGCGGCCTGTTGTCTTCAACGAACAACGTCCGCGGCGGCGCGGACAGCGAGTCCTGTTCAAAATGAACAGGAACTGCTGTTGGGCATCGTACTCCAGATTTCGTAATCAAAGGGAGGGGGTCTGGACCCTCCAAGACAAGCCATTGCAGACCCCCCCCCCGTGGGAGAACCCTCCAGAACATCGTCCCCAGACCCCCCAGGCCCTCCAAGATAGCCTGGAAGAGACCCCCCCCGAAATGAGACCCCCCTCCCTTTATTACGATATCTGGAGTACCCATTCTTTTCATACCCATCTCGATCGTCCCGATGCCAACCTGCCTGCTTTGCCATCAGAAGCCTCTCCGCAGGCCCTTCGCCCTCTGCCGCGGGACACTGCGTGCCTCGTGGGCTCTCCGGCAAATGTCACGGCAGGCTCGCGCCGTGACGACTTCGGCACTGGCCTCTGACACAGCGCAGATCGTTCATGGGACGCACAGAGACATACTAATACTATATGTCCTCATTGGAGGCGCGCGTCCAACCCGAACGTATAGTATAACCATCTTGTAGTATATCATTTCCCGAGCGGTGTGGCCAGAAAGCGCCTGCCACGACGCATATACTATAAGATTTCTCGGTGCGCGCGTCGCCCTTGGGGGGGCGACGAACATATAGTATAAGTATGCTGGGGCGACGCCGAGTTCAGCCCTGGACGACCGGCGCTTTCCAACAGCGCAGACTGTCCTGTGCCAGCCGACTCTCGGCCACCGGCTGACTGACTGACCCGCGTGTCGGTCGGAGGCGGTCCCGAACCGGGGCGCGCGGCGGAGCCTCTCGCGCGCCTGCTCTCGCGCGTCTTCTCGCAGCTATTTACTGCGGCGCTCAGCCTGGAACGCCCGCGCGAGGGTCGCCGGCGCGTCAACTCGGCGCGGGCCTACCATGCACGAGGTTCTGCCTTCCAAGCAGGCGGCGGCGGCGGCGGCGGCGGTGACTCGCCAGAGGAACGTATTCGCTCAGCCGCCGCGGCGGTGGCTCGCCAGAGGCGTCTTCGATTAAGTCTTAAGTTCCATGCCTACCAACGTGGAATCCCAAACAGTGGGCTCCTGCACTCTCGATGTGCACTGGTTTGCAGTTGAATCCGTCCATGGTGCACCATCTGTCGCAGCATACATCTATGCAGTCATGCAGATGGCGCAATATATGAGATGCAGCCTAGGTGATGCTGCACATGGGGTGGCGTCTCTCTGGGGCAATGAACGGGGCAAAAGTAAGTCTGAAAGTATCGAGATCGTCAAGTCCAATGCTCGAGCAAACATTCTACCAACCCACGATCGCACCACGACCACCCAAGAGGCCCCCCAAGAGGGCCCCAGGACGACCCAAGAGGGAGCCCCAAGACGGCCCCAGATGGCCCCGAGAGGGCCCCAAGAATGGGAGCTCGAACTGACATCCTAAAGATGGCCCCCGAGACCGCCAGCAGGCCCCCGAGAGGCCCACAAGAAGCCCCAAGACGGCCCCCAAGAGACCTGAATCAGGCCCCCAGAAGCCCCAGAGCGGTCTCCACGCAGGCATCCAAGAGGCCTCTGACCGTACAACCTAGGCACGGCGGCGGAACGGGCCAAAGGTCACAAGGCAGCTTTTGTTTAGACAGTGTTGGAACACCATTTTAGGCAGGCTTCCGACACCTGCGCACGCGTGTGACAAGCGTGGTATCATGCGAGACCGATTCTCAACAACCTGGGC